GCTGGAACAGGGGAAGGAAAGAGAGTTGAGGCTGAAGCCAAGCCTTTTTTGATTAAGTCCGAGTATGGCCCTTGGATACATGTCCAATTTAAGAACAGACGATTTACTAAAGGAATAGCTGCTGGTAGAGGAAGGAATGGTGATAATGGGGTCAGGTCTGATAGCAGGGGAAACATTAACCAGAAGATTATTATGCAGAAGCAAATACTAAAGGAGAAGGAGCCTGCTGCTGCTGTGGATAATCCTGTTTCGGCTCCAAAAAATTGGTCAGATAAAGAGAAAGTTGTTGAAGACAGGCTGCCAGGTATTTCTTTAAGTAATAGATATGTTGTTTTGCTCGAAGACAGTGAAGTAGACTCCTTGGGAAAACATGAGGAGACTGATAATTTGAAGGACACGGATTTGGAAGTAGCTGACTCAGGTGCTGTGAATAATGGCACGGCTTGCCATAGTGGTGCAACTAAAATTAAACTTGCCAAAGAATTGAAATCTTTGGGGCCATTTGATCCAGATTATAAGAAGAAGAAGAGGGATGGAAGGCTAAATTTCATGTTTGGGGAGGGATCCCCTGCACTAATATAATGTCTTCTTTACTATTTTGGAATTGCAGGGGGGCTAGGAAGAAAAAGGCCGCTCTATATTTGAAGGAGGTTGTTAGAGATCAAGACGTTTTCTTTATTGGGCTAATGGAGACCAAGATGACAAGCATTGATAGGAAGAATGTTGATGGCCTTATTGGGAATGATTGGGAGTATTTCCATTTTCCTGTTGTTAGTCTTTCAGGGGGTATCTTGGTGCTTTGGAATAAGAAGGTTGTCTTTTGTGGTTAAAGAGACTTCTTCCCAAATGATAGTTGGGGATCTTTCTGTCCCTAACTTGGGGATTTGGAAGGTTGTCACTGTTTATGGAAGTAGATGCTGTAAGGAGAGGGAGAGTCTTTGGAGCCAGCTTGGAATGTGTATGGAGGATTCTATTCTTTCTATCATAGGTGGGATTTCAATTGTATTTTGAACAAAGAGGAAAAGAGAGGGGGGTAAGAGGTTCCTTTTTTCTAAAGGACCTAGAGATATGAAGTGTTTCATGACGAATTTTAATTTCCATGATGTGGGGTATATTGGACCAAGGTTTAGTTGGTGCAATAACAAGGAAGGAGCCTCTCGGATTTGGGAAAGGCTGTATAGATGTATATTGAACTCGGTTGCCCTTCAAAAACTTCTTATAGCCGTTATTAGACATCTAGCAAGAGTGGCATCGGATCATAGTCTTATTGTCTTCAAATTGGATGAAAGGGTGCGTCTCAAATTGAAAACCATCAAATTTGAGGATACTTGGAGATCTTATCCAGCATCCAAGAGTATTGTGTACCATTCTTGGAAGAAAAATGACTTTGGAGATGAAGGTATGATTCTACAAAGGAAGATTAGTAGAACTTTAAAAGCACTATTTTTTTTTTGAGTAAAAATAAGTGCAAAGACTTGAATATGTTGAAGGAAAAACTGAAAAGGGAAATTTTGGATCTTCAAAACAAGGAAGCCGTGGGAGTAGATTGGCCAGCTGATGATCTTTTTTCACTCAGGAGCAAAATCCATGAGCTTAATGTGACCTTGAAAAGATTGTCCACTTGGTGGAATCAAAGGGCAAAAGCAAGATGGCATGAGGAAGGAGACAAACTCAAAACTGTTTCATAGTTTTGCTACGGCGAGAAGGAATGGCAATAGGGTGAATCAAATTAAAGATATGCATAATAAGGTTCAAGTAGAAGATGACCAAATTGAGAAGGTTTTCATTCAGTACTTTGAAGCAAAATGGAAGTCTAGAGATCGTGAACTATCGGGCTGGCCATTGGTTTATGAACACCAGAAACTGAATTCAGAAGAGGTTGCAGCTCTGAATACTGAGTTCTCGGTGAATGAACTGCAGCTGTCGGTTTTTCAACAGGGGAGTAATAGATCACTAGGTATGGATGGAATCACTTCCTCTTTTTACAAATGTTATTGGAATATTGTTTGGGAAGATTTATGGAATGCTATTAAGTGCTTTCTAATTTCTGGTCGTATGACAATGGATTGGAAAGATACTCTTATAGTTTTGATTGCTAAGGTGAAAAACCCTTTGATTCCATCTAATTATAGGCCTATTAGCCTATGCCAAACTAAATACAAGATTGCGGCTACAATGCTAGTTAACAGATTAAAGAATTGTATTCCCAAAATGATTACTGTAGAGCAAATGGCCTTCATTCCGGGAAGATCAATTTCAGAACATTGTCTTCTAGCTCAGGAGATCTTCCATAAGTTCAAAATTTCCAAAAAACGAAAAAGGGGTTGATGGCTTTGAAGCTGGACATAGAGCAAGCATATGACAGCATGGGATGGCCAACTCTTGGTCAAATTCTTAAGTGGTATGGATTTCCTTCTATGTTTTCTAACCTTCTTATGGAGTGTGTTGTAGATGTGAGATTTTCTATTATTATTAATGGAAAGAATTCCAAGTGGATCAATGCTCATAGTGGATTCCGTCAAGGGTGTCCACTCTCCCCTTACCTTTATATCATGTGCTCTCAACTGTTGTCTAACTCTTTAGAGCAGAGGGGACAAAGTCTTGGCATTCAAGTCTCTCCTAGAGGTCCAAAGATCACACATCTTCTTTATGCAGATGATGTCCTAATTTTTTCACATGTCTCCATGGCATTAGCTAAAGCTTTGAAGGTTATTGTTGAAGACTTTTGCAAATGGACGGGGCAAAGGATTAATGTCAACAAGTCACAAATTATTTTACGCCAGGTTGTCAGATACCCATGAAGAAGAAGATTGCTAAAGTTTTTGGCTTCAAAGTGGTTAAAGAGATCAGTTATCTTGGGATAAAGATTTCTCTTGACAGGTTAAGGATGGCTGACTTTCAAGAATTATTGAGCAATGTCATGGATAGACTCAATGCTTGGGGTAAGAAGTCTTTGTCAATGGGTGGTAAGATTACTCTCATTACAAGCTCTTTGTTATCTATGCCAAATTTTTTAATTACACATTCTTTGATTCACAAAAGAGTGTTGTATACATTGGAAAAACTTTGTAGAAGTTTCATTTGGCATAAACCTGATGGTAGCCGTAGTATACATTATGTTGCTTGGAGAGATATGTGTAAACCGAGAAGTATGGGAGGGCTGGGTTTGCAATCTCCTGTGATGAAAGTTGGCTCGTTGAGATCGAAATTGGCATGGAACTTTATACAGAAGCTGGATACCTTGTTCCATAGAACAATCAAAGCTAAGTATGGGAATGATGTTATGAATGGTACACATAAGAAAGTTACTTCTAAGGCTTGGCAAATCCTGCTAGATGGTGGAAGACACCTGAAAAGTATTACCAGATGGAAAGTACCATAGCAAAACTTAATGGCTTGGAAAGTACCATAGAAAAGTATTACCCAGCACAGCCCCCGCGCCTCTCAGCCAGCCCGACCCCCTCCTTGCCCTGGTAGATCCCGCCGAACCCCTGGTTTGGAGTTTGGTTTGGAGTTTGAATTCAGCCATCAAATCTCTATTAATGCTTTCCTAATTTGGCTCCTCAAATTAGTAAGCAATTGATTGAAGATTAATTACCTGGATTTAAATTCAAATTCCGCTCCCCCCTCATTTGAAACTTCCCTAATTGATTAAAATCTGAAATTAAAACTTCAGATTTTAATTATATCCATGGGGCCCACCAATTAATCAAATCCCCTCTTTTTCTCCTTACTTGGCCGGCCCCTCCACCTAGCCTTTTCTCTCTCTACTTGCCACCTAAGCACCCACTAATTACCCTCTTAATTTCCCCCCATTAGCCACCCCTCTCTCCAACATATTTAAGGGAAATTTTAAGAGCAAATAACTTCTCCTCCCCCAACAAAAAAAATCTGAAATTCAATTTCAGATTTTCCCCCCAATCCTCTCTATAGCTCACGGCCCAAATCCCCTCTCTCACCTCCTTCCCTCCCTTCTTCAATGTTGAATGGCGCATCCTGAATTTGAGTGGGGATTAGTATTCAATGCCGACGGAAGCATTAATATCCTACGATCTCCGTGCTTTGACGTAGGATTTGAAGACGACGCCACAGTTGAAGAATACTTGTAGCGAGTCGTCTCGATTCTCATGAGCATCATCGACCGACAGTTTCAAGACTACGCTTGGACGATCATCGGACGCCATCCACCACCACCTCCACCGGCGGCTACCTCTCCGGTAACGAAGTCCTTCGTCTCCTTTTCCATAGTGGCGCTCTCCATCTTCGTGTGGTTCTTTCTTCTCCGCTAAGGCCCAAGAGTGAACGAGTGAGAGGGTGCTCAAGGTGAACCTTTTCATTATTAATTGTGGGATTTTGTTATGAGCATTTAAGTAATTCGTTTATTTGGAAATGTTATGAATTGTTTGGTTATCTCAAAGCAAATCTTCACCTAAGCGAGTTGATTACCTAGAATAAATTTAATCCTTTATTTTATTGGTAATAAATTTGTATTGGCAAATTTTAATTAACTTTTGTTTTAATTTCCGCACGCAATTCCTTCTTTGATTCACATCACATACTAATTCCAGATAATATTTTGCTCAATAGTTCGCATACATAATAAAATTATACTAATTTTTAAACAAATAAAATACAAAAAAAATGATTCTAAAATATAAAATTTAGATCAATATAATATTGCAAAACACATTCAGAAAATAGTTAAAACAATTATACAATACATACCTAGTACCAACTGAGAACAAATGTACAAATTATGGAAAATACAAAAGAGAAAATGAGTTATCAAACATACAAGTTGAACCTTATAGCTTGTAGTTTCTGTTCATTTTAGCATAGAGTATCAACCTCTTATTTATATGCCAGCTACGATCAACTTAGGAAACCACAAAAAAGATAGATAGCATGGATTGGCATATTTTAAAAATACTTCAAGAGCATTAAAATAAATGTAAATTAGATTTGATGGCAAGAAAATGAACTTTAAAAGAAACACACACCCATCCACCAGCTGCTCTGATCCGCCTTGCTTCTTCCATGGAAACTTTATTACTCCCAAAAGGTCTGTGAGGACTGGTCAGAACTTCTGCTTTTCCCTTGCGAGATAACACCTGCAGGTCAACAAAGTTAAAGCAAAATAATAATAATAATAGAAGATGAAACTTTGAAGAATAAAATTACCGCTTTCCACATTTCAAAAATTAAACAAATCAGCATAATTTCAAAAGAAATGTTAAGACTTCCCGCGCCATAACACTTACATTTCTAAATTAGGTTGACTTTCTCTCTTCTTTTTAAGAGCATAGCCATAACACTTACATTTCTTTCCTTAGACTCTTCTATCTCTTTCTCAATCAATGCTTGCTCTACTAGGTCCAAATCCAATGTCTTAGCTAAATTGTTCTTCAAACACCCATCCACAAAATCTATCTAAAACACTAATCATCACTAGAGTAATTAGATAACTTCCTGGATATAAGTAAATTAAAAGTAACTATCTGATCTTGCTCCCGTTGTCTGTTCTCCTTTTTTAATATCATTCATAGCTTTATCAGTTGCCAAGAAAGGTCAACCTTAAGATGATTGGAATCTCCTTGCCTTCATTTATATCTAGAACTATGATGTCTAAAGGAAAGATGAACTTATGTATCTTAACTAAAATATTTTCAACAACCCTTCTAGGATAAGTAAGAGATCTATCAGGAAACGGAAGGGTCATAATAGCAAGTTGAACCTCTCTCAGGTCTAATTTTCTAAAGATAAATAAGGGCATCAAGTTAATACTAGCTCCTAAGTTACTTAACGGTTTAATTACCTAAGTGCATATAAAATATAAGCCTAATAGATATATACAAATAAATATTTTTAGGAAATCAAAACATAAGAAAATTACCACCCATTAATTAAAAATACCATAGCAAAACTTAATGTACTTCGGTAATCTAGCGGCCGAAATTAATTGGCAATAAGTATTAGTTATATAAACTTACACATTAAACCCTTTTAATTCCTTCCTCCAGTAACCTTTAGAGCCGAAGCAACAGCCTCCCAAGAGCGTGAGAAGAAGGCTGAAGTGAAGCAGAAAGAAAACCTAGATCTGGTACTGTAGCAATACCGTTGTGGGGAGATACTGTGGCAGGTACTGTAAAAGCGGGGGAAAACAGGGAAAGTAGCAGGAAGGGAGAAGAGAAAAGGGGGAAGAAAAGGGAAGGGGAGAAAAAAAATTAAAAGCAAAAGTTTTATAGTGTTCGTTTTGCGTTGTAAGAACAAGAAACATGAATGAGTAGAAATTTAACTGAGGTAAAATCTTGTGTTTGAGATTTTATTGTAAATTAAATTTCTAAATTAGAGACACTTTATAATTTGATAAAATCATGATTTATTTAGGTTGTTTATGAAACAAAAGAAGTCGGGATATCCTAAGGGATCAAATCCATCCTGTTCGACAGGAAAACAAGGTGAGAAACCCAATTTATAGTATAGAAAGTGGCAAATTTTTAAATCAAACTTTTATAGCATTTTTTTATATTAATCATAAGATGAAATTTTCGGCAACAAGAACAACTTCAGTATTATAATTATTGGTTCATTATGAATTTATTTTATAAATATAATATTTTGTGTAATGTTAGATAATATTCTTGACGTCTGCTATGCTAGTTTGAAAGTTATTAAGAAAAGTCATATTATGTGGGATAGACCTCCACAAGTAAAGGCGAAAGACTTGACAAGTAACCGTATAGGAGGTACCTGACTCTCTCTTCTAAAGAGTTGAAGTTTTAAGATCCAACCTTAAAGTGAGGGACCATAAATACGCTAAAGCTTATAGTGATCACATGACTTTCCTAAAATAGTATACAATGAATATAATAAGAAATATGGGAGAAACCTGAAAGAGTTCATACAGTAAATTGCACAATTCTATGCCTTGATATTTACTATACTAATGATCCTTATATTAGTTCAAATTATCAGTATACATGTTAATTGATTCTTGTTCTTGTATTAAGATTACGTATTACATTCAGCATTTAGCTCATCAGTTGATGTATTAGAAGGGGAATAGGGATAGCAGAGCTTTGGGCATGAGATTTGATTGCCTTGTGTACATAATCGTTTTGGGTGTTCATTTTTTGGTGTAGATAGAAGATGGACCTATAAGCTGTAAATTATGTTATTGGGTATATAAAATTTTATTTGTAGTTTTAGTAAAGCTCTATACTTTATTTTTTATGTATGTTGTGCATTCTTCCACCGTGAGATCCTGAGATATAATTTTATGGCTAAAAAATATTAATGTTGGGATAGTCTAAACAGATTAATTTCATACTTGATCTTGGAGAATTTAGCGCAAATTTATGCTAGTGAGAAATGTATATGTTCGGATTTTTCATCTCTGTTACACCTTAGGTTAACTAAGGTGGGCAAAAATAGGGTGTGACATTTATAGGTGAACTCTCAAATTGTGAATTTTGAACCATTTGAATGATAGTCGATTTATGTTCAAAGTTTTAAGCATGAATGATAAGTATATTGATACTATGATGAACTACATCAATTAAAGAATTTGCAAAGTCATTAAGAGATCTAGATTGATCTTCTACATTATGTTAATTAACCATTTCTCCTAATTGTTTTTTACTTTTTCGAGTTTTTCTAGTTTTTTTCATAGGTTTTATCTATTTTAAGATCAAATGGTACTAATGATAACAATTCTCTACAACGCATACAATAATTAATTCAACAAATAAGACATCACTCACAAGGCATATTGATTAAAACATAGTAAACAATTCCTGCAACAATTTAATATTTATAGAAATTGTAAAAGAAACTTGTAAATAACATACACAACAAATAAAATAATAACACAATATCATAGTTGTCACAATAAAATAAATTAAAGAACAGATTAATACAACGATTTTAAAATTAATATTAACTAATAAAAAAATGTCATCAATCATGGCAACGGCACTAAAAAACTTGACCAAATGCTACACTGTAATACTTGGTGATACGAGAATAGATATTATAATTTTTTTTAGTTAATTATTAGTTTTTATTAATTGTTTAAATTATCCTACCACACTTGAAATTTTAAAGCAGGAAAAAACAAAAGATATTTTAAAATATATATATATATATATTTTATTAGTACATTAAATTTATGATTAATAGGTAAAATGAGCATGTTAATTAGGTCTTCAAAATATAATTATGAATCAGTGCAATTCTAATTCATGATCTCTATCGAGCCCATAAGAATACTATGTCTATTCTAATAAACTTACTTTAATGCAATAACATCATCTCCTGGTGATTCCAAAAACTTTAAAAATACATGTCTATATTTTGAAGTTTTTGTTCAAATCTCTAGTTGTTGACTACATCACCATCAAGAACATTAGTTCATACTAAATTTTTAATTTTCAATTGGCCGGAACACAATTAAATAAAGTACGGGGAAATAATTTTTGCACAAGTAAAAATTAGACATATTATAGCATTACACAAAGCACTACCATTAAATAATAAATTCAGCAGAAAGATTTAGCCATGGAAATGCATATTGGACAACACAAACAACATCACTCTATAGATAATTAAAAATAAAAAATGAGAACAAAAGTTAGAAAAATATAACCATTGCATGCAATCTAGTATTAGAGTCCTCTCTTCCTCCAAAGAAATGCTCTCAAATTCACTTGCAAAATCTTTTGCACTAATTCCCACTCCCACACTGACAAAGAAGCAGAAAAAAAGGACAAAAATCAACCCCCTCTTAATTTAGGCTCCACATTTATACATAAATAACTATTAAATTTCTCTGGCAGACCCACAACACTACAGCACTCATATGTAACACTAGGATGATTACCTGAATCAATGTGGCACTTCGAGTATAACTACACATCCTAAATCAACAGAACACTTCGACAAGGCACTACGGCACTATTGTGCCATAGCATCATAGTGCCAAGCTCTCTATCTTTTTTGGCTCCAACGACTATTGCTGCCCTGATTCGTCATGTGAGGAAGTGATATCACAGCATAGTGGTGCTCGAAATTGGGCGTTGAGGCACTGGCACTATGTTTTTAGAATTTTGGCACTGTAGTGCCATACTTTCTATTTCTAGAGCAAATTATCCTACTATAGTGCGGCGGCGGTGAAATACCAGCACTGCGACTGGCATCACAACACCGCAGTGTTAAAATATCGGCGTTGCGGCACCACTCTTTTGTTTTAGACAAAAATTCATCCTCTAGTAGCACTACGGCATTGTAATGTTTACAATGCAGCATCATCCTCTGGTTTGAAACAATATTCATCCCTGGGGGCTTTGCAGTGTTGATATGTTAACGCCGCGGTGCTTTGATGTAATTCTTATATACTTTGAATTATTAAGAAAATTATGGCATCAAACAATAAACTTAGGTAAGTTTTACATAGAAAATGCATACATAAATTAAAAGCAACTATTCTAACGCAACATCATAATAATTGTAAACACATTTGGACAAAGAAGCATCCAAAACTTGGAGCATCGATGACCATAAAATTTTCTACTCCTAAGGGAAGCGGTTATATTTTGAATTGAACATTCCACCATTTTAATAATAGAGCACTCTATTTTGTGTTCTTCCTATCTTGGCAAATCAATTGTAAAGCTAATAAATTATAAAAAAATGAAGGAAATAACACTCAGGAACTCAACCCATTCCTTGTGTTCGCTTGAGGAACTCATTGAGCTTCCTCGAGCACACACACAGAACTCGCCCATTAAAGTAATGAAAAACAAACTTGTTGAGACCCTAAAAAGGTGTGCTTAGTGAACTCATGCATAAGCAATGAACACCTACTAATGAAATAAAGGTCATGACAACATCCCATCTTAGCTAGTCGTATTCGACCCTAACCATCTTCAGACTCTAATGAGCGACGGCGTACCACAGGAAGTTTTAACTAGTGAGAACGACTCGATCAATGCACTATATGAGGTCAGCCAACTAGTCTTAATCCAGGTTAAAGTCTAAAAGAGGTGGGAGTACTCCCTATAGGCAAGCTAAAGCCCCCAAACATAAAGCCTACAGGAGAGTCGAGGCCAAT